TGCTGACTCCATTATAAAAATGCTGACTCCATTATAAAGCTTATTTAAGATTATTTAACATCTGTTTCAGAGGAATTCATTTAATTTTTTTCTTTACTAATTATTACTAGCTTTTCCAGACTAAAAGATGAAGAAATAAATGTGGATAGTGTCCACATGTGGACACAGATGATGCCCCCGCTTGAATATCATATAGTTATAAAGGGACATAACTGAAGAACGAAAAAGTGACGCTATCCAAATTTGAACTTGATCTGAGTTTTGTGGTAATAAGCATTGTGTGCAAGTCTCATAACATTTGGTTGAGGCTAACTTAAGTAGAGAACAGAAAATAAAAATTCGGCAAATTTTCTATTTGTAACTCTAGAACGGTTGTGTATAAGTTTTATAACAATTGGTTGAGACAAACTAAAGTTAGAGAACGGAAACGAAAAATTTGTACTTGATCTTAGTTTTGTGGTAATGAATATTGTGTATAGGTTTTATAATGTTTAGTTGGGACAAACTTAAGTTACAGAATGGAAACTAAAAATTTTGCAATCTTTCGATTTATAAAGGGGCATAACTCAATAATGGTTAAAGTGACACTACCCAAATTCAACTTGATCTGTGTTTTATCAGTGGAAGTCAAAATTAAACATTGCATTGTATAAAGCATTGATTGTAGTTGATTCAACTATAATCATGGACAAAGGAAGATTACTCCAATTTTAAAAATTACTTGATATTTAGAAGAAAATAAAAATTTTGCAATTTTTCCATTTCTAAAGGGGCATAACTCTAGAACGCTAAAAGTGAAGCCACCAAAATTCAAACTTGATCTGTGTTTTGTGGTAATAAGCATTGTGTATAAGTTTCATAACATTTGGTTGAGGCAAACTAAAATTAAAGAACGAACGAAAATTTCAGCAATTTTTCCATTTGTAAAGGGGCATAACTTTAGAACGGTAAAAGTGACGCCACCAAAATTAAAACTTGATCTGTGTTTTGTGTTAATAAGCATTGTGTATAAGTTTCATACCAAATTTGTGCTTAATCTGAGTTTTTTTTGTAATACGTATTGTGTATAAGTTTCATAACATTTGGTTGAGGCAAACTAAAGTTAGAGAATGGAAACCAACTTTGGGATGTACGGACGGATGCAAAGACAGATGAACAAGGGTAAAACTTAATGCCCCCTCAGCTATGTATACTGCGGGGGCATAAAAATGTATTTTCTGTAATTTCAGATATCTGGTTAACATACATGTTAGTGTCTTTTTGCCTCTTTCAACTGATTTTTATAGTTCTTTCTTATATTGTACTGTTACACCACTGTCCCAGGTTAGGGGGAGGATTGGGATCACGCTAACATGTTTAACCCCGTCACATTCTGTATGTATGTGCCTGTCCCAAGTCAGGAGCCTGTAATTCAGTGGTTGTTGTTTGTTTATGTGTTACATATTTGTTATTCGTTCATTTTTTTTGTACATAAATTAGGCCGTTAGTTTTCTCGTTTGATTGTTTTACATTGTCATTTCGGGGCCTTTTATAGCTGACTGTGCGGTATGGGCTTTGCTCATTGTTGAAGGCTGTACGGTGACCTATAGTTGTTAATTTCTGTGTCATTTGGTCTCTTGTGGAGAGTTGTCTCATTGGCAATCATACCACATCTTCTTTTTTATATGTACATAAACAGGATGAAGTTATTTTTCTCACAAAGCATTAAACTAATATTTAATGAACACTGAAACACTAATTGCCATTCTGACCCACTGTGGCCAAGTCCAAGAATAGTGAACAATTAATTTCTTTCTTGGTTGGAAATTTCTCCTAACAATTATCTGGAGCACCACATGATATCAACATGTATCAGTGTGTGACAGAAGTAAAAAAGTATGCTGATATTAAAACTTCTTTTGCATGTGCTGGCGTAAGTATACGTGTATATCTTTTCAAGTTCCAGTCAGAGCTCAGACATAAACAAGTGGATTTTGTTTTTGACTTGCATAAGTCAAAAAATGTATTTATTATAAAAATGTACTTTCCATTTTCAGACTTATTTAAGTCAGAAAATGACAGACTTGTTTAGATCTATTTATGTTTATGAAAAGACTTAATTTTAATTGGTAGCCAAACTGCACCACCTATGACATCCTAAGCTTGTCTGAGAGTTCACAAGGACTGAGCTATCTATAATTAATTATCTAATTAAACATTTTTACTTAACATAGATTATTTTCCTCATTTTGTGTGATTACAGATGGTTGCATTGTAAAGTTAATAAACATTATCTCCGTTTTTTTAGGCTCTCATGCATATTTTTCCTTAGAAGACAAAGCATTGTCTTTCAAAGTTGTCATAATTTCATGTAGATGCATGACCTTTTTATAAATATGCTTGGGTCTTGAAGTTTACCAACTTTGTTAACTTATTGACTTGTAGGAGTCAATATTTGCAACTTTTTAATTCAGGTCAAATATGTCTTGCTTAAACACTAATTGACATATTGAAGTCATAATTTGTCTTAAATTAAAGGGACATAAATCTTGAAACCTTCAAATTTAGACCTCAATGAGCAGTCAGGGGACTTACTTAAATGAGTGATCTTCTAAATCACTGATTCAAGTATTATTATGTCCATAAAGGTTAGAAGTAAGAGTTGTCTTTCTTTAATAATCACCTATTTAAGTAGTACAAATTAATCACTAGACTAAGTGATTTAATTTTATTGTAGCTTTAAATATAGAATACTAATGATCCAGGGACTAATTATGTTGCTAAAATTATCAGAACCAACATCTGTGTTGATAGGATGACCGGGTCATGTCAGGTGATGACCTTGTACTAAATCTAGGATAATGACATAAAAATCACTTGTTTAAGTATCATACCTCAATTTCCTTCCAAAAAATCACTTCTTTAAGTATCATTATTTTAATAACCCCACTAATTTCAACACCCCGAACAGTGAAATTTTGATGGCGAACAGTAGAATTTTATTACATAATCTATAAGATGAAACCTAGAATTTTACAGGAAAAATACTTCCACTGCTGGGAAAAATCTGTTAAGAAAGTATCAGTTTATTATGTAAAGCCATTTTTATAGGATTTTTTCAACTAAAATAGAATGTGCAGCTAAATGATTGCATCAAAGGCATAAACCTTGCTGCTTAAAAGAAGCAAAAAGTTCATTTTTTTCAATTTTACTAATGAAAAGATATTATCTAAACCTATGTGTTTAAAATTTTGGTAAAACTACAAAATCACAATTTGTGACAAAACTTCGAATTTGCAACTCAAATAAGTGATTTAAAAATCACTTATTTCAATAAGTCCCCTGACTGATGAGTCAAAAGCAGATTTAGACTTATTTATGTCTGAGCTCTGACTGAGTACACAGTAGAATATCATTAATAAGATGACATTGTGATCTATATACTATTACCAATGAATTTAGATTTATCTGATCCCATATCTTCACTAACTTTGTAAATTATAATTTTTTGGTAGGAGAAATAATTTAGGAGAATGAAGACTTGCAATGTATTTTCTGGGATATTGTCATGTTTTTTTTTAAAGTACACTGAATCATCCAAAAAGATTTTTTTTAATAAACACTCGAGAAGTTGCCCAATGATAGAAAAATGTCAACATTTAATACTCTATTTTCGAGAATTTACCTTTCAGTTTGAAATTTTTATGCAGACTTGATTATCGGGTAGCAGATATCTGGTATGTAAACTCTTTCCATAGCCCGTTTGAAGCATGTTGGAAGCCTGACCATGCAATCTTTGATCTCCAAAATTTGTCTATTCTCAAATTTCAATTCTTTCACTTTGTACTAAGGAAAAATTTTAGTTAATGCATTTTCTAAGTTGTTTTTCCATTTCTACGTCGCCATCTTCAACATGTTCCTAGGTCGCGTTCATAAGGAGCATTCTGATTGGTCGATATAAATACTTTCTTAGGTCAAATATTACGTTATATGAGGTCACAAAAGTGAAACCTTATAGGGTACTTGTTAGATCCTCGTATGTAGTATAACGTAGTATAACGAAATCCGAGATCTATATTTTAATTAGATTGATAAGAGGCACGGATTTAATTAGAATTACTGTATTTAAGGAGATCCTGAAATATTTCAGGACCTCCAAAATTCGAATTCAGGATATCCATAAATTATTGAAGACCTCCCGGATTTAACCAACATTATTGTACTTAAGGATAATTATCCTAAATTATTTTAGGACCTCTATAATATAATTTCAGGATACTCTGAAATTTCTCAAGATCTCCTTAAATATATTTTTTTTGGTTAAATCCAGGAGGTCATTGATATCCTGAAATCGAATAATGGAGGTCCAGAATCGAATTTGAGAAGACCTGAAATATTTTTTAACTCGTGCAAGATATTGTTTTCGGAGGCAAAATACCGATGCATATGAATGTTTAGAATTGGATTGGCTAAAATCAATGAAAGTTCAGATTAAGATCATTTGGACATTTCAATACCGAATGGTCTACTATTGTCAATTGTCAATAATAAATCTTATGTGCAGAAAACGCAAAAATTCGTTATTTTGTTAATCTTTTATTTCTGTAATCAGTATTTTTCAAAACTTATTCTTTAGTTTTTACAATTATTCTTTATTTTTAAGCACCTCATTATTCTCTATTCTTTATTTTCTGGCCAATTTTTCTCTGTTCTTTATTTTCTTTTTATTGGGCCATTATTCTCTATTCTTTAAACCCAATCCAGAACCATTATCAGTGTAAGGTCATTATCTCTATAGGATGAATTAGGTGAAAAAATGCCGTCCAATACTTAATTTGTGGTTGCACTTTACAATAGAATTTATATAATATAATAAAAGTCATTACCAGAACATAATCTTTTCTAATACTTATAAAACATACATGTTTAAAATTCCAATCAAGAAAAAAAACATACGGACCCTTTTCGTCTTGCTGAAATGAGCGAGTTGATGTTCTTGAAAAAAAAATCAAACGCAGTGATTGAACAAAAAAGTAGAATTGCCATCCTTTTTAATAGGTCTAGGTTATTTAGGCAATATGGAATATTTACAGTAGAATTTATAAACTTGATAGCTTTATAAAAAATATACTACCGCGAAAATCTGGGTGTAAAAATCACCTTTCCCGACCTATTGACATTCCATCTGATTTCTTGGTCTTCAACATTTCATCGGGGAAAGTGATTCAAATAATGGACTGTCTCCTTCTTAAACATTGTTTTAATAATAAACACAAAACAAAACTGCATAGTTTAACAGATCTTATGCACTAATAAATCCAACAGGCGTTGTAGCTGTCTTAATGTCTACAAATTGAAAAGGGTAAACCTTACGATGCGCATGCAACCATGAAAATGAAATAAGTGTCGAATGTCAAGACTGGCATGGTCTCGTATTTGGGTTACTATATTGTTATATATATACAAGTGAGTGTCTATTCTTTCTATTCATTTATGCCCATCTGGTCAGTTTTTTTTTTGTCAGCGCTCTTACACACAATTATAACATTAACGGTACATATTTTATTGGACCAGACGCGCATTACGACATTAAATCTCTCTTAATTCAGTGATGCTCGAGTCTTTTTGACCAACTACTGCGTTGTGATACAAAAAAGGAAAAATACACCATACTTCTAAATTAAATACTAATCATTTTTTTGAATTGTTAATATATGTGTATCTTAAATTGACAATCTACGCATCATCATCAATGAGCCTTTCAAAGAATACATGGTTCCTTTCCAACTATGCCAGTGAACACCTCGATGATGTCCATCTGGTGTCTTCAGGAAATACTGACCATTCAGATCAGCTGATACACAGCTATTAAACCACCAGGCGCCGCGATACAAGGTAGCACAATGATGAGAGTTATTATCGTTATCGCTATCCTTTGTTGAAAAGCGGTTGCCATTGTGATGTTCCAAGCTGTTACCTGAAAATACGAATGCCACATTGAAAACTGGACCATACTAAAAATGCATACGGTTCGAGGGAAAACATGAAGTTATCATGACTTTTGTACAAATGTTACAACCATTTTCTTTTCCCAAGATTTAAATGTGATTGAAATCAGGCATAGAATGTGGTATTCCGTTAACAACGATTTAAAGATATTATACACATCATATTGAAACAGACCTTTACAGTAAAAAAGCGATGGTATTTGCTGATCATCGCCTTGTATACGGTTACGAATTTTTTTTTCAACTTTTTTAAAGAAAATTTTAATAGATATACAATAAATTTATTATATTTCATATGAAAATTATTTCATTGCCACGATTGTTTTTTGTTTTTGTTTGTTAGTGTCTTTTTCCCATTTTGCTGGTTTTCTGTTCTGTATTGGTTATAGATCAATTTATAAGGTTGTATATTTTGCACGGAATGTAATGAATCGGGCCTAATGACTGATCAATATAAGTACTTTATTATTCTTCTCCTTTTAATCAGTTGCTTATTTGGTGGGCGATCAATTAACATTTTCAATATGATCTGGCTCAGTGCGCCTAAGTGTAACCCTTTTTTTTGTGGCGGTTCGTATTGGTCAATCTTGATATTTCCATGGTTTGTTTTAATAAAAGTAAATATAGGTATGCGTCAATGAGGCAGCATTCAAACAACAACAATAATCATGACATCTAGATGTCAACAAACAGTTGTCAAACATAGTCAGGTGTTCATACATTGTACCAAGCTCTAATTCGTCCCGAGTCTATAACAGCTAACAAACGCAGTCAAAGATATGCCATAAAAACCAATCTTTCCAAACAGATATAAAACTGATATATGACATATGTCAACTACTATTGAGGTTCCATACTGTTGTGTTTGAGTACTTAAGTAAATTTCCCCCTTTTTAAATATCAAGACCGATGACAAGGATAATGCATATGAAATAAATACACAAAAACATTACTCTTTTACGAACTGCTAATCTTTCCGTTGTGAGGGAGAACGTGCGCATATGATAGGCGAAATTAAACCGTGAAACACAATCAGACCTGAACACCATTGCATTCCTCAAACTAATAAGAAATTACATTCGTTATTTCTAGACTATTCATTTCAACTGCTATAAAATTTGCCTTTAAAATAAACATGTACGTTATAAACCATAAATGTTCAATAATTACCGAACATTTACCATGTTTGCAATAATCGGTAGAAAATATTAGAGAAAAATAAACTTTGAAGATGAAAATAACACTTTATAAGTTTGTATTAAATTCAGAAGGACGATATGTTAGAATACAACCAGTTAAATGATTAACTTTTTTTTAAATCCCATGATATTTATGCCGTTAATTATACACCTTGAAGTAAAAACTTTATCAAGAATATGACATTCTATTATCAAAAATATTCATGTTTCGTATTCTTCAGATCGAGTATAAGCCAAGTGTACCCATACAACTTAACCAACTCTAAATATCAAAATACCATAAAATGAAATCCGTACCTGCAGTGCCATAATACCCATTTGCGGTTAGTTTGAACTTCGAACTTTCATCTCCAATTCTAAACTCTTTGTATTTTGCAAATGCATTGTTTCCATCAAAATCGAATAAATCGATCCGCATTTCATACTTCCCTCGTGATGTTAGAGTGTGCAATATGTCGTTGCCTAAAAATAATACAATATAAAATAAAAAGATGTGATATGAGAGTCTGGATGGGGGGTCCTTCATTTCTGTATTCTTTTTACTTTTGTTTCATTTTTCTTTATTATTAGAAATAACGAGTATTATGTACAATTTTCAAAAACATTACTTTACTACTGTGGATTCATTTATTTTCATGGGTACCAATTTTCGTGGAATTAGGAATACTGACACTTTCGTGGATATTTAATTTCGTGGTTTTGCCAAAGTCTGCATACGGGCAAATGCAAAATTTGCAATTCGTTGAACATTTAAATTCGTGGTTAACCTGCCCCCACGAAACCCACGAAAATTGGTATCCGACGAATATAAATGAATCCGCAGTATTAAATTTATCTGTAATAACATGATTTCTTTATTCTGTACATCCTTCATTTCTGCAATAAATATTACATTGTCTATTTTTTTTTATTTCTACAGTTATTCTTCATAATTTTGCACCCCATTATTTTCTATTCTTTATTTTTTTTTTGCTGATTTTTTTCTATTCATTAAGCTATTATTTTGTATTCTGGAAACCCCTTCCAGACCCTCTTGTATGAACTATCAAACATTTGGTAAGTGCCGAGTGTCTTAATCGCTTTTCTTGATTTATCTTCTTCAGGAACGCCCAAACCTAAACATTTCAAAGCCAGGGATGTATAAGTATTTAAACAATTGGCAAACACCATATACAGTATAGAAATCGAAACAAGACCCCGACATGAAAATTTTTCAAACAACTCAAACGAGAAAATCAACGGCCTCGTTTTTGCTAAATCAATAAACGACAACACTTACGACAGACAGCAACCAAGCTACTGACTTGGAACATGCATTTAAAGAATGTGTCGGGTCAAGACAGGTTTGCAAAATAACCTAACAAAAAGAAAAAAATTGTTCATAGGCCTTTGTTTGCTTGTGTTAATCACGATGGCATTCTTTTAAAACCATGTTTAATCCACCATTTTCTACATGCCTGTACCAAGCCAGGAATATGACAGTTGTTATCCATTCGTTTGATGTGTTAGAGCTTTTGAGTTTACCATTTGATTAGGGACTTTCCTTTTTGAATTTTCCTCGGAGTTCAGTATTTTTGTGATTTTACTTTTTACTATTTTGAACAAAAGCGATGCAATGGTTACTTTGGATTGAAATTATCAAATGAGTACATTTGTATAAATATACAAAAACCTACTAGACAAGTATTATATATTGTGCAGGAAAATTTAGTTTTACCGCATTTGATGAAACATGCGAAGTTGATCGAGAATTTATTTCTAGATTGGTTTCAAGAACAATTTAGAAATACGTCCGACACCCAATCTATTTATGGATTTGGCATTGTAAAACCATTGCAAACCAGTATAAGAATTGTCCATAACAATTGACGTACATGTCTATTGTTCCAATCTTGTCGGAAGGTGTCAGACCACCAATTTACCCCCTTCAATTGAGAACGTATGTAAAAGTATCCTTTCTCTGACATAAAATAGCGCTTTTGATGCCATTGTTTACTTAAACTAACCAACAAATTTGCAGAAATGAAACTTTTGGTGAAAGAGAAATATATTTAGACCATTTTGAGCCAAAATTTACTTGTCCATGAGTTTACATTAAAAATTGATAATTAATGCGCTCCATAGTACACTTATTCAAGATTTCAAGACCACCAGTGGTTATTTTTAGATGTAGTTGCCTTGCGTAGGGTGGTATTTTGTTACAAGACTATAATGGTTTACTTTTATAAATTGTTACTTGGATGGAGAGTTGTCTCATTGGCACTCATACCACATCTTCCTATATCTATGTAAACATTGGTTGAAAATTGGCATATAGAAAGGTGATACATGTACAATTCAGGATATACCTGGTTTCAATGAAGTTAAACTTGCCGTAAAATATTTCGAAAGCTATGAAAATTGAAAAAAAATTGGTTGAATAGATAGAGATTTTGAATTGGTGGTCTGACAACAGAAGTTGCTATCCGGCACCTTTAATTTTGAATTTTGATTTTAAACTTCGGTTGCATTATAAAAATAAAAAGATGTGGTTTGATTACCAATGAGACAACTATCCGCCCAAATTCAAATGAAGTGGATGTAAACAATTATAGGCAACCGTACGGGATTCGACAATGAGAAAAACCCATACCGTATAGTCGGCTATAAAAGGCCCCGACATAAAAAATACGAAACAATTTAATTGATAAAACTAACGGCCTAATTTGTAACAAAACAATTTACGAAAAACAAATATGACAGACATGAATCAACGACAACCACTGAACTACAGGCTCCTGACTTGGGACAGGCACATAAAAAATGTGGCGGGGTTAAACATGTTTGTGAGCGCTCAACACTCCCACTAACCTGAGACAGGGGTTTTACAGCACAAAATTAGAACACACTTTTAAAATCAGTTGCAAAGGGCTTAACTCATCAGATTGGTACAAAGCAGAAACACAGCTAACAAAAACACAGACCGGACGTGGCAGTGTATTTATACATCCCTATCAACAAAAAAGGCACAAAGTACAGATTTGAGAGTACTCGCAGTTACTGACAGCTAATTCAAAGCAAATAACAACTTATACAAAAAAATCATGATCTAAGACTAAAATATCAATCAGTACACATCCAATATCCATTGGATTTAGTGTAAAGACGTCATTAAAAGTCAGAGAAAAACATGACCTTGTGCAATGCCAAAATATAGGTATTGACAGATTGTAGTACCCTGAAAGTGCATATGTGTATAACAATAATATTAAGTATCATGGTTTTAATTTACTGATAACAAAATCAATATTTATACCAATAAAAACAATATTCAAAGATCAAATTACAGTGTTGAATTGGTAACCTTTTAGAATAAGTTTATTTAAAGGATTGATAAGTTTACCTAGATCGTGTCTGAATTTCATCTTTAAGTTTCTTATATTGTTTGAATAAAACACCTAAACTTCACCAACTGCGATAGATAATATCCATTTGAATCTAACTTTTTAAGCTCTAAATCACTGGAAAAACATACGGAATCTAAAGACAAACTATTATGTATTAGATAGGATTCAAGATAATATTAATTTAGTGGTTTAACCGCAGTTGGTAAAGTTTAGGTGTATTATTCAAACAAAAAAGAAAGATATCAGATATCATTTGGAAACCATTTTTAATATTTTAGTCTATGAATATCCATGCTTAACTTCTGACTTTTGACTTAGTGACGTCAATAAACAGCATATTTAATGTTCTATTGGCCAATACCTTATTGAAGTTATGAAATATTTCTATATGATGGCACTGAACGGTTTTACAAGGATATATTGATTGGTGTTAAACCTCCAGTGGCAAACATTACATGATTATCAGGAAGAGAACATGTCGATTTGATAGGAATATGAAATTCTGCTTTGTACTAACCCAACACGTTGAACCAGAGTTATAACGTGCTAGTTCATAAAGTAACAAACCGCAGGAAGGCATGTCACACCCTACTTTGACACATACTGTGCTGGTTCCCAGTCAATATTTGCTCTTACTCCTTGATGCAGCGTATATAGCGAAGAAGTAGCAAATGCCAATTTTATATCATTTAGTTTAACCTTGTCGGAAATAAAATCCACTCCTCTCGCACTCAAAGCGAGCACACAAGTACGAGAAGTTTATTCAATAGTCTCTTCAAAAATGAACATAGTTCAAACAATTACATGCTTAAAATTATACAGATATCATTCGGAAACCATTTTAAATTTTACTTTTGAATTAATGACGTTAATTAACAACATTTTTGATGCTTGTTATGATTGTTGAAGACTTTTATTAAACAGATGTGTTAAACCACTTTAATATTATCGTGAATCATATCTAATTAACAATAATATTCCGTATATTTACCCGTGTTTTAGATCTAGGGCTTTATAAAGTTAGATTTCTAGGGATATTATCGTAGCTGTTTAAAAAGGTTTTGAGTACTATTGAAACATTATAAAGAAACTAAAAAATAAACTGATTTGAAAAAAGACATATGTTCATACTGAGATGATGATTATGAAAATGGTTAAATATAGTGTAATCATGTGCAAACTAACCAAGCCAAAATTCATGCTTAGGGTTCCCGAATCCGGATTTGTAGTCATTCCATCCACGGTAAAAATCAGTATAGCCATTTTCTCGTCTTTGAAAAAGCTGTAAACAGATACATGACAATACAAGGAGAAGTGCAAGACAAATAATTTGGGAGAGGTTCGGAATTAAACGTTATGGGTTTTAAAGATAGAATGTGTGAACACTCCTAACTTGGCAACGTCAAAATATGTCGTGTTCTCTGAAATGTTGCAAAAAAAAGTTTCTTCGTTTGAATATAGGAATTAGATAACTCGCATCGCTCAATCTTTACTTATCTATGCAGTAATTTGTTTACTGTAAAAGATTGTATTTTATCCACGTTTCTTTTTGGCCATGAACTTACCTGTTATTCGTCGACTTGTTGGCTTTTCCCTTTGTTCATTTATCTCTTCTCTCTTTTTTTTATACAACGAAAATTCCAAGCAGCAATGCAAAATATCATCATCGCTCTTCCAGGTGTGCAATATATTGAAATAACATGTGTTTTATTGTGAACATTAATCAATTTCAGGTAAACCAAGGCGGATACATTATACAATTTTCTAGAAGTATTAATACGTTCTTCTTTGACAAAAAAAAAAGAAATAATAAAATGAAGAAACTAGTATGTTAGGATTTTCATAGACTACGAAGACCATCTGAATATAATAATCTTCGCTAATCAACATGATATATGCATGTGCAGTATAAACTTGAAGGACTAGTGTTCTTGAAATATCGAATATTTAATGGTATGACATGTTTATTTCAAATTTACTTATAGAGAGGGGATTTGAAAATTACATGTTAGGAACTATTCAACTCGTTATAGTTCTTTATTCTAATATTAAAATATGTGTTTTGAAATAAGTTTTATTTCTAAAATCTAACTCACCGTCCAGTGTCCCTCGTCTAAATTCATTTCACAATAAACATCAATTCCTTGTGTATGCTTTGGAAACACCTTATATACTCCACTTGGACATTTACCAGGAATATCATTACAGTCAATAGGTCTTCCTTCTAAAATAAGATCAAAACTAGTGATTCTGAATTATTCTGGATTTTTAAGCGCACTATATTTATCCATATCAACAGATGTACATCTATACACTTTAAAGATTGATAGCAGAATAGTGCCTTACATTTTGAATTGAAACTTAACGTAATCACAGTATTAATTAATTTTCATTGTTATACATGCATTATATAAAATATATGTAACAATATTTGTCACCGATTGAAAATTATAAAAGATATTGCTGTTCATATTAGATCAATCTTCAATATTGTGTGTTTTGGAACGGACACATTCTGTGTACAACGATCTCTACTAGAGTCCAAATCCCATTTTAAAGGCCTAAAAGAAATCTACATATCTAGCAGTAAATGCACTATTTATTTGTTCAATTGGTGTAAAACGATTAAATGCTTTTTAAAAATCATATTCCATCTGTTCTATAGTGGAACTAGTTTTTTTTGGAAATAAACTAAGACATTTAATGGGAACAATTTTTTGATTTATAGCTAATAAATTTGGTACCTTGGCATTTCGACGGCCTTTTGAAATTATCCTTTGCGCAAATTCCTAAAAGTAAAGAAATAGCAACATTTAGTTGATCTTTATTTTATGTTACCTATATCTACATTATGAAAGTCTGGATTGGATTCCCAAATAGAGAATAATTGGCAACCCCCCCCCCCCCCCAAAAAAAAAAAAAACAAAAAAAAAAACAAAGAATAGACAAACATGTGCTAAATAAATAAAGAATAGAGAATAATAGTTTTTTTTTATATAATGAAAATAAAATAATGGGGTTCTTGAATATAACAAATAGAGAATAATGGATAAAAAAAGACAAAAAGCCTATGCAATCAAACTCTATTTAATGAAAAGAGCTTGTGTTCAAGCGTTTAATATTTTTCTAATGTCAGACACCAAACCTGTTACACTAAAAAGTTTTGCTTTTTTCTAATGTTGAAATTATCATTACAATATTTCAAACCTTTATTGTATAAATTTATTTCCTAAATATAACTAACAAGATTCTTCAGTGGTTTCATTAACCAATTAAAAAACAAGGATGAAAAATGTGGAAATTGTTTTCGGTTCATGCATATGAAAGCCTTTTCTGTAAACAGAGTATTCATACGAAATTGCGTATATTATCTAAGAAACTGAATTAGCTTTTCTATCTAGTGCAAAGCAGAGTACATGTCTATAGCAAACATTTAACCTCCTGACCATGCACGCTATATATATGTTAGGGGGAGGATTAAGCACTCACAGTATAGAAATAAGGAGATGTGGTATGATAGCCAATGAGACAACTATCCACCAGAGTTCAAATGCAGTGAATGTAAGCAAGTATAGGCCATCGTACGGTCTGCAACAATGAGCAAAACCATACAAAACTACACAAAAAACCAGTAAAATATCGTTTCATCTCGGCCTCTAGTAAGTGTTCTACAACTAATCTTTCAGTGCTTTTAACAAGTTCCTTAACTACTATCAAAGAGCTTATCATAAACTATTGTAATAAAATATATGAAAATAGTGGAATTAACTTTTTTTGGAGTGTAAAAAATTCTTTGGACGTTTTAGATAAATTACGTGCTTTTGATGGTCCTTTTGATTCTGTTAGTTTTGACTTTTCTACTCTTTACACTACACTTCCAAACAATCTTATCAAACAAAAATTTGACTATTTAATTAAATGGTCGTTTGGTAAATCTGAATGCAAATATATTTGCTGCAACTCATTTAAAGTCTTCTTCTCTAATGAGAAAGGCAAATATGCTAGATATACTTACTGGAGGTGTGATGAGATGATTGAAGCTGTTAATTTTCTCCTTGATAATATTTATGTACGTTTCGGCAGCAAAGTTTATCGACAGGTTGTAGGTATTCCTATGGGCACTAATTGCGCCCTTTTAATAGCAGACTTGTTTTTACCTGTTATGAATTACAGTTTATTACCAAACTCAGTAAAGACCCGTCTAAGTTGCATTTAATTGATAAATTCAACAACACTTACCGTTATCTTGATGATATTTTTTCGTTAAATAATCAAGAATTTTCTCAATATACTACCGAAATTTACCCAAAGGAACTTACTTTAAATAAATCAAATTTAAACGGTAACAACTGTTCTTTCCTAGATTTAGATATTTCGGTTTTACACGGGAAACTCCACACTAAAATTTACGACAAAAGGGACGATTTTTCGTTCCCTATTGTTAATTTTCCCTTTTTGGATGGTGATGTTCCTTTGGCACCATCTTACGGTGTTTATATTTCACAACTCGTTCGCTATGCCCGTGTCTGTTGTGACGTTTTTGATTTTAACGAACGTAATCTATGTATTACTGGTAAATTATTAAGCCAGGGATTTCGTTACCACAAATTACTTAAAACCTTTAATAAATTCTTCTACAGATGTATAGATTTGGTTTTGAAGTTTGGTTGTACATTTGTACCTGTAGAAAACTTATTTCAAACGGGATTGCACATCCTCGTTTTTACGGCAATATTGTTTACCGTGCCCGGAAATTTAGAAACGATCCTGGTAAACTTATCGATCCTTTAAATAAACTTATTCTAAAAGGTTACCAATTCAACACTGTAATTAGATCATTAAATGTTGTTTTTATTGGTACTAATATTGATTTTGTTATCAGTAAATTAAAAGCAAACTAAATATTATTGTTATATACATATACACATTCATGGATTTACAATCTGTCGATACCTGTATCTTGGCATTGCACAAGGTCATGTTTTTCTCTGACTGTTTATGACGTTTTTACCCTAAATCCATTGGATGTTGGATGTGTACGGATTGATAATTTAGACTTAGATGCATGATATTTTTAATTAGTTGTTAGTGGCTCTGAACTAGCTGACAGTAACTGCGAGTACTCTCAGATCTGTGCTTAGTGTCTTTTTGTTGTTTGGATGTACAAGTATCCGGCCACGTCCACTTGTATTTGTAGTATTTGTATTTTTAATTTCTTATCCATCTGATGAGTTAAGCCTCTTCCAACTGATTTTTATAGTTCGTTATTATGTTGTACTGTTACACCACTGTCCCAGGTTAGGGGGGGATAGGATCCCGCTACCTTGTTTAACCCCGCCACATTCTGTATGTATGTGCCTGTCCCAAGTCAGGAGCCTGTAATTCAGTGGTTGTCGTTTGTTTATGTGTTACATATTTGTTTTTCGTTCATTTTTTGTACATAAATTAGGCCGTTAGTTTTCTTGTTTGAATTGTTTTACATTGTCATTTCGGGGCCTTTTATAGCTGACTTACGGTATGGACTTTGCTCATTGTTGAAGGCCGTACGGTGACCTATAGTTGTTAATTTCTGTGTCATTTGGTCTCTTGTGGAGAGTTGTCTCATTGGCAATCATACCACATCTTCTTTTTTATAGGCATGTTTTACCCCGCCACATTCTTTAAGTACCTATTTTAAGTAATTATTAAACTAACAAAGAGTGCACACGCTGAAATGTCTCGCCTGCTGAACTGATCATGATTGCATCTATGTTGAAAGTCTATGAGAGAAAGATATATAGGCGAGTGACATTTAAAAAAAAAAACTCGTAGTTAAGGAGTTTAATACACCCATCTAACACACAGCTGTATTATATACCATTAGAAAGCTTATCAACTTTACTTTTTAGGGTCAGACAGACACGTACACCACACAGACATTTGATAACCAAATATAGTTGACCTTATGCTTAAAGAACCTGAGTAACAGACCTTACAAGAAAACTTAAAGTTGACCAATGAAACATGGAAATAAGGTCACGTTCAGATGAACTCTGTCTGATAGACATTTAACCTTGTCTTGTAATCATTCCATGCATCAAATACAGTTGATCTATTTCTTAAATTCTCGGACAAAACACAAAAACTTAACATTGACCAATGAACCATGAAAATGAGGTCAATGCTAGATCAAACCTGCCAGACAGACATGCACATTTTACAATCCTTCCTTACACTAAATATAGTTGACCTCCTGCTTATAGTATCTGATCATGAGATATAGACTAACACTTGACCACGAAAACTTAACCCTGATCAGTGGTCCATGAAATGAAGTCGAGGCCAAATGAACCCTAACAGGACATGATACGTTGCAATGATCCCATTAGCCAAATATAGTCATCATATTACTCATTATAAGTGAGAAATTCTCATGACAAAAAAACTATACAGTTCAGGGTCAAATTATTTCCCTGGAAATATGATGTACAAATGTTATCTCAACTGCATATCAATTATCATTGACAAACCATTTATGTTTTATCTTAAACTTTAGCTTTAGCAATTGATTGTTTTTAATACAGGAAATAGAACACCACTGTCTTGCTTCCATAACTTAATCAAAAGGAAAGCAAATCAAAGTGCTTGTGAGCACTGAGTGGTAAATATTGCCTTTGCTGCAGCGGGAACTAAAAATTAAACATTCCATTGCAATAAGCATTAGAAGCAATGCTAGGAATTGGAGATATAATTTTTAAGTTTGTTAAACTACAATTATGGACAAAGGAAAATTGACTCCAATTATATTATTTCTTAAACAAGGCCATCATTGATTTTTAGAACAGATACCTGATTCTGGAATATCTGAACATATATATCATTGATAAATTTATTGAAATATTTATGCATAAGATGAATAGAATCATGTATTCAATGCACTATCTTTTGTTTATCTCAAACGTAGTGCTAAAGTCTTTAAAATTGATAACTATTTAGCCAGCCACATAAGGGTTTTAATTGCATAATGGAAAAATTTACCAAATAAATCATTCAAACAACAGTGACATCAACTGACAGTAATAATGGGTCCAACATGGTTCGATAAGCCAAGTGGAGTTTAGTGCCATGCCGTTACATTTTTTTTTCTTTTTTATTAAATTAACAAGTAAAATATCATATGAATATATTTAGTGATATCAATATAATATATAATTAGACCATCAATGCAAATTGTCAGTAATATTTAGGTTTCTCCTCTGGTATTTTCTATTTCGTGCAATAAAGAACTTGATTATATATACATGTTACTTCTACGTTCAAATGCAAGTTTTTGATATGTTAATTTCAGGCGCTTGAGGGTGACATTATATAAATAACACATAGCTGAGAGGGTGATAGAGCAGATTGTTACCCCGAGAAAACATTGTCAACTGAGGCGAAGTCAAGGTTGACAATGTCTTTTCGAGGGGTAACAATCTGCTCTATCACCCTCTCAGATATGCGTTATTTAATTTATTATACTGAATGTTCTGTTATTACTGTCAATTAAATTTCAAATTCAAAGTAATAAACTATGACGTCTTGTACATAACAACCATCCGTATTTAATAAAGCGCACACTTGATCAAGCGTCTCCGTGAAGGGTAATAGAGTATTTGCCATAGGATAGAGTCGTATTTAATAAAGCGCACACTTGATCAAGCGTCTCCGTGAAGGGTAATAGAGTATTTGCCATAGGATAGAGTCGTATTTAATAAAGCGCACACTTGATCAAGCGTCTCCGTGAAGGGTAATAGAGTATTTGCCATATAATAGAGTAAATTAACACCCTCGTACAAGCCAATCAAAATATTGCATTTTTACGTGAGTTATAATAATATATTCTAGCAGATGACTCAGCAGGTGACATTTTTTTTAATGTTCTTACCCCTTAGTACTTCCTTTGTACTAAAATGATTACATTTGTAACCCTTAAAAACTGGCAAAACAAAAATCAACAATTTAAAAGACAATATCAGTACAATTATAATTATCCTTTTTACGTATCATTTCCCATTAGTAGTAACATTTCATTTGTCCCAACTTTTTTTGGTTTCTATGTCTTAATTAATACGTCACTCACGTGTTTGTCCAAATTGAACGGGATTCATAAACAGTGGCATGATCCTAAAAACTTATCAAACAGAGTTATAAGGAGAACGACTGAAAACAGCACAACATACGGACACCGTCACAAACACATTGACCAAGACAATCGGATTGTGTCTCAACTTTATATGAGAGACATGTGTTCGTAGTCTAAAATCTGAAAATACTGGAAAAGTCTTTTGGTCAGTGAATTTCCTAACTGCACGCTTTTCACTATCGAGATATTTTGAATGAGTATGGACATACATGCTTTTTTACGCTCACGGTCTGGCTCCTTTTTGGGTTCATCCGATTTCCTTTTTTTTCTTGTTTTTTATGTATCTATGAGTTATGTTCATCGGTATACTGTTTTGACTTTTATTCAACAACAAGATTCCAAATGGAGATAGAAGAGATAGCAGAGACTGAATAGTCATTGTCAAAGTTACTTATTCTGACAATTAAGTTTGACATGTTTGTGAGTATTTCAGTCCACCTCCCCTCCAGTAAGAATTTGTCTTATTTTAAAGTGAAGTACAACTATTTGAAGATAGCTATAGCAATTTGTGCAATATCCAAATACCCTAGTTGTGAGAATATACATATATACATACCGTTTGGAAGTCGGCTGAGTATTTCTTGCAGTTTTTCAGTGTTATCATCTAACTTTGATTCTAATGTTTGTAACCTCCTTAAATAATCTCCATTTGATACCGAAAAAGTAAAAGAAAAAGTAATAAGAAAAAGAATAACAATCATAATTTGCATTTGCTTTATGCTTGTATCTTGTCAAAATTTAGCACCTTATGTGGTATTTTTTTGAAACGTTATTTTCGAAAAGAGAAATAGTGTGTATTCTACGAAAAACAAATGATCACGCAACGATTTCATTAGATGTCGTGTCATTGCAACACAAAAGAGATAGTATGCTAGTTTATATTTTACTAAACAACATACATATCAATATAAGGACACTATCGATTTTGTCAGAAATGAAAAATAGATATGTTAGAAGTAGTGACAGTCAGTAAAGTTTTGAGGAGATTGTAAAGTTTTCTGCTTAGGTTGAACTAATGTCCTGTGGTTGTGTATTTCTATGTAGTTGATTTGAGTATTTAGACCTTGACCAGACAACGAATGATAGATTTAAAATAGAAATTGTTCATTATTTGAAATTAATTAACTATTCCAGCAATATCTTATTTTAACTCGATTTCCTATTCATACGTAATTTACAAAAAAAATGTTTATTATTCGGAGTCAATGCATTTGCCAGATCACACGATATTATGTCACAAGTGCTATGATAGGCATAACTTGCTTTAATTAAGAAAGAGGTATGCTATATGTGGCCCCTTTCATTCAAAATAAAGTCACCATAATCTCCTAAAAGTAACAGTAAAAAGAGGAAGAAGATACATAGGGTGCAATTAAAATACTAAAGTAAACCTGACAACAGAGTACACCATAGTATGAACAGAAACCTAAAGTAAAACAACAGACTAAAACATAGCATGAACAAAATCCTGAAGAAAAACAACAGAGTACACCATAGCATGAACAGAAACCTAAAGTAAAACAACAGACTATACCATAGTATGAACAAAATCCTAAAGTAAAAAACAACAGACTACACCATAGTATGAACAAAAAGATGAAAACACATTTATTCCACAGAAAACGAATGTATACTCTTTTGCACACATGCATACAATTTTGGAATGTTAAATTATAACAACATAATGCATTCATATTATCATTTAATATGTAAGCATTTTTTATTGAAATATTATTGGACTCATATACATATTCTATAGGTTAAGCAATACGACGGGTGCCACATGTGGAGCAGGATCTGCTTACTCTTCCGGAGCACCTGATATCACCCCCAGTTTTTGGTGGGGTTCGTGTTGCTTCGTCTTTATTTTTCTATGTTGTGTTTTGTGTACTGTTGTTTGGCTGTTTGTCTTTTTCATTTTTAGCCATGGCGTTGTCAGTTTATTTTCGATTTATGAGTTTGAATGTCCCTCTGGTATCTTTCGCCCCTCTTTTAAGGGCAATAGTATTAAACGCAAATTTCTTCAACGACAAACATTCTTGAATGTATCTAAGTTAAATCAATAACAAAGATTCATAATAAGATAAAATCAATTGAACTTCTTGAAAATATATGTAATATGGCTAGAACTACTTAATCAAGAGATATAGCTGAGACAGATCGCACTTTGATACTCTACCGAAAGCTTTGTTAAGCTTGGTTAGAATTTTAAATCAGGATAGTTTTCAAAGTGAGTCGTTACGTTCCAAAACATTTCCCTTGATGTCAATTAACTCAATTCCCTCGATCATGATAACATCAAACATCCCGGAAATTTTTTAAATAGTTACTCAGTGATGTAGTATTGTTCGGCGTTTTATAAGGAGAAATATTTAAAAAGGTGTATGTAGTAGCTGTGACATTTCTATTGGTCATGCTTATTGATGACAACGAAAGAGAAAAGATACTAACTTGCAATGAAAAATGATAAGTCCAATAAAAACGGACAATACAATTGCCAAAAAGAAAAATGACGAAAAAACAAATAATGATATCGAAACAAAACACTGAAAACTAAAAATTGTGCAACACGAACCCGACCAAAAAAATAACGGTGTCGAAATCAATAAGTACACCGATGCTCCAGAAGCTTAAGAGTAAGCACTTCCTGCTCCTTGGTGACACCCACCGTGTTAATCTAGTTGAAATACATAGATGTGTCATAATGAATATACAATGTATGATAGCAGAACAGTGAAATTGTGTTCTCTAACCTTTAGGGCATCATTAACTTATCAACAATCGATGCAACAATTTTTAACCCTAAAGTTGACCGAATGTGAAATTTTGCCAGAAAAAATAAATAGGACAAGAAACAACACTGAACACTAAAGTAAAAGCAACATAAACCTCTTTGAAACAAAACGAGGGATCTGTAATTTGGAATAGCTTTCTTGTACATGTTGTTAGCAGCAATCCTCTATCAAGGAAATCATGATAGGAAACGCAAGCCCTGTTCTATCGTATCGTATCTTTTCGTATATATTCCATATGCAGGTGCTGCTGGAACGTTGCTACACAGGAACGAAAAGTTCACATTAGGTTAATTGAAGTTTCGCTTCCATCATTAAGTGTCAACCGACTATCATTGTCAGTTTTTAGATGTATAGCAACAAAGAGTCTGACTTTACTGTACCTGTAGTAATCTTTATTTCTGCTTCATTTAGATTGATGTAGTTAAATTAAGGCGACAATAGTTAACAGATAGATGTCATAAATCGATACGGAAGAGACAAAGCAATATATTATTTCGGAATAACTGCAGTGTGTACATTTATAACATAATTGTTTCAACACATTAAAAATTAAAATATTTTCATAATAATTATTAGAAAAAGACTTAACAAATTTAATGTAAAATGACGGTGGTCATGGATACCATTAACAAGCTCCGTTCGAAGATGGCCATTGCACATTTGGCTTCAATTTCTAAAACAGAATAATAAAGTACTAATATTACACATAATTTTTTTGGCCAGGTTTTTATAAATATATACTCCCATTCACTCTCGGGTAAAAAAATGAGGGGTAGTAAATGTTATTTTTGGTTCGGGAGGGTATTATTAACATTCACAACTTTTATCGACACAATGTTAATTATTGAAAATTTCTCGCCAGCTGTTCATGACATTTGATTGGTTGAAGAAAATTTAACCAAGAATAACTAACAGGAAGATCTAACCCAATGATTTAACCAGATTATTTATAAACTGCACCTACGATGACTTCTGCTACGTGCAAGCACTCTATAGCTTTTCTCGTTAAATTAACGATCGTGTATTTTTCTCTCGCAAACAATGAGAGCCAATTTGTGATATTCCAGAAAAGGGAGAGCAAAAGACTAACAGTACTGGCTAAACATTAAAAAGAAATTAAAAAAAAAGAAACTACAGTGCAAAATCAATACAGTTAGATAAAGGAATGCCAAGTCACCTATTTTATTTGTCCTAGGAAAATAACTCCAAAATATGTGTTTAAGGTTTTTTGGTGAAGGCTACCCAGTGAAGAACTTATTTTGCGTTCTGCAACATGAATGGACCTCGACAAAGAATGGGTAATTGGGACTTCTACTAGGGCAACCGGTATATTTGGGAATTAGCAAAGCGCTACCTGTGGAATTCAATTATTTATTTTAATCAAAACAAACCCTGATTATTGGTTACAACAATACCAGACAGGTTACAGGGAACAAATCTGTAAAATTAGTTAAAAGTGATAAATAATCGAAATCGAAATAACATTATAAATAACTTGCATAATGATGGTATGTACAATGTTCAAATCAAGCCGATTGAATAGTGAAATCTGATATCATTCTTCGCTCTGAAATACAAATTTTAAAAACATTCGACGTAAAAATTCTTGACAAGATTTTCCAGGAAATGTCAATAAAATATACGTTCCAGCTGTTACTTACATGCGATTTATTCGACTATGGGACAATATAGACACATGATCCTGATAAGACAAATTGAAGCCGTTTAAAAGAACCGTAAAGATATTGAGTTTTCATTTTTTTTCATGTACATGAATATTACATTTGCACTATAATCACACTGCTCCTTTGATATAGGTTTTTATCTTGATTATATACAAAAATATTTAAAACATTATGAATACTTGTAATATAATTCCAATGTGAGATATCAATCTAACAAATCGATCAAATTTAAAGTCATATGAAAGTTGAAATACAAAAAAAGTTGAATATGTTTTATATACTTGAATGGTTACGTTTTACTATTTAACAAGTGTACGTAGACGTTTGATTTTGTCAGTTTTTATGGAATTCCTCCTATTTAAATTTACCTTGGAGTTCGGTATTTTTTATATGAAGTTTTAACCTCGTCAAAGAGTAGATCATATCGTTGATTGATTGATTGGTTGATTGGTTAAAGAGTGATCGATGCACAGCTATAAATATTGTGTATAGATAAAATTGTGATTTCAATATACCCTGCATTATACTACATTGAGTTTATGTTTTACGAACTCCCTCACAAGGTAAGCTAATCACTGTTCAAGAAACTACCTACCGCTACACAATATTCTGAATTACAATCGGTCGTTCTTTACTCCTACCCAAATCACTAGTGCTTAGCGGAAAATTAGCAAATACCAATTTAAAAATCTTTCGTTTGAATTGGTCGAGTATACCACACATAAAGTTTTGAAGTGAATCCAATTGAGTTTAGACCAGATGTAAATGCATTCTGCATGATAAGGTCTGGAACTTAACAAAACCGATAATGATCATAAAAATTGCGAAAATTAATAATATTACTTAATTCTTCCTTGTGAATGTTGGTTTGGACGCCTGCTTTTTTCTTTGTTTCTTCGGAGGTGACAGTCTGTTGTTTATGAGTTATTAATGATTAAAGGTGTTATGGTAGAACCATAGCTAGCGCAATATGAAAACTACAAACGCTACTAGGACATAAACTATTTTGCTAGACTTATCAAGAATTGACGATGTCAATGGGATATTCATGATTAGAAAACATTGACAATTTCTTACATGTACGAGTTTCTTAATCTGGGAAAAATATATGAAAATAGATTATTCTTTTTGTAATTGTATTTTGGTGTAAAAGCGTTGACCGCAACTCATTTTGAAAGATGCGCAAATAAATTGCATAAAAAGAATTATCTAATTATCATAGCCACATGTATTTGCTACAACCCTCAAATAACGTGTTACATCAAGCTTTTCGTTCATATGAATGTTGCATTCAACATTGTTCATTTGAGAAATAAAATATATTTTGAGAATGCTCGCTAGTGTTGTCAGCCAATCAAAAG